ATATTAGGAGCTTACCTGACATACTGCTTATCATTCCTCCCAAAATGCTCTAGTTTTGCCCCATTTTCCAGAACATTTCTATCTTATTAATATGATATTTGGCATAGTTGAGCCAAAGTTGTTTTGCTTTTTCATAAGCAGTGGCTTTTTTCTAGGCATTCTGTTGTGAAGACCAGCATCATTCAAATTTTGTTGCACTGTTGACATATGCTCATTGATTCCAACATTGGCCAGGGAGCCTTGGAGGACTGCAAAGGTCACTGCAGGATTCACTTGGGCTTGCTGAACCAGATGTCTGCTTACTCTTTCAGATATTTTTTTGCAGACAGCTACTGATACATTGATTGTGATGCTGTCATAACAAAGGCCTTTCATTTATAAATAATTTGTTGCATGGTAGAGAGGTGCTCTCCAAATCAATTTAATAGATTTTTGTACCTTTTGCCATCATTATAGGCTTCAATTTTGTGTTGTTTTTTTTTAAAGCTTCAGGAAGTTCTTTTGATCTTGGCATATTTTCTATTTAAATTTAGTCTCTAACTGCATGCACAATGAGTTATATTAAATGACTGCAGTATCTCAAAAAAATGAACATGTGTCATTTTGATTTTTACATGTGCACAAAAATTATTTGCACTGGCAACCATGTAAAACAAAAATACAGAGTATAAATGTAAGGATTCACTTACTTTTGCACATCCTAATTTTTAATTAATATTTTTCTTCCAGTTTGATATGAATTTTGAAAGTGGTTGTAATTCATATAATAAAAGTTTGTTTTTTTTAATGAATATATAGTTCAATATTTGTTGATTATCTGGAAAAAAAAAAGATACATTTTTTGTATAATATCTTAAGGATTCACTTACTTTTGCCCAGCACTGTACTTGATAAAATTTGAAAATAATCTAACCAATTCAAACTACTTATTTCAATTGTGCCAAATCAAATAAAATATTTTCAGTTTGACATTCCTTAGCAATCAGCAGTGAATAAAGACAAAATGGAAAACTTAACCAATGCGTTTTGTCCTATAAAGGACTTTATCAAGGCAAATACTCAAGAATTGCCTTGACTCTGACAATGACCAAAGTTTTGGGATTTAAGTTTCAGTAGTTGATATTCTTAACTCAGATATTTTTAAATTTTAGAACAAAAGGAAATTTTAAGTTTCATCAAATCAAACCTGGAAATAAAGGAAGTAACTACTGACTTTCTGGCCCAAAACAAATTACCTTATTCAATTTACTTGATCCTTCCTATTAGCCATTGATGGCTTTTCAGAAAGATAGAGTTTTTGTTGTCATACAGATCTCTCTATTTTACTTACTCTAAAGTTTATGTTTTATATAACAGCATTGATTGAAAGCACAATCACCCGCTTGCAAACAAGTTTTCAACAAAATTAAGATTAAAATCATAAATTTCAGGTTTGAATTTGTAGAAAGGTCCTATTCTCCCAAACATTAACTCAGTAATTAAAAAATAATTCAACATTTTCTTTGGACAACTGCTCTCTTTTATTTGTTTCTTGATGTTGTTGCCACAACGTTTTGGCCAATCCCTTTAGCTTTCATCAGATGTATGATATGTCAAAAAAAAAAAAATCAAAAAGAAATAAAGCTTGTTTCTTTCTTAGGGATAAATGCAGTTATAAAATAAAGAAAGAGTTCATTTATATGAACAAAATTTGGAATGTTAATGGCTTTTCTCAAAATTATGGACAATGTAATTCAAAAATTACTTTTATTAAATTTTTAAAAATTTTGATGATTTCTAAAACAAAAGGTCTTCCAGTTATGAAAAAAATCCTAATGAATAAAACCATTGGCTGGCTAATTTTACCACAAGCCTAAGTTTTGAAAAATTCATCAAACATTTCCACATATTTTAGGAGTTTATCTTCAGTTTACTTTTCAGATTGAATTAAATGAGATAGCCACTAAAGTTTGTATTTTTTAGTAAAACAATTATACAGTCTTTGTAACTCTCTTGGAGTTAAAACAATAATCAATTAAGTAAAAAATATTAAAAAAACTATTCAGGGTTTTTATTTTTAGACATTTGTGTACCTTTGTAGTGATATACAATCATGCTTTTAATTTTCTTTTGCCTACAGACCTTTTAAAAATTATTTGTCAGAATTTGATTCCATTTTTCTTTTTTCAACATTGAAAAATATTCTTTCTAACAGAAATCTTCTCTCTACTACTTTATACCTGACTTGTCTTTTTAGATAACTGACAGAAGTGAGACGTTTCCTTTCTCCTTGGACACATGAACTTCTCATGCTGCAGAGAAATTGCAAACACACTGCAGAAAATGCATAGCTTTTCTCTCCTTCTTATTTCTCTCTGTCTTTCATTGTCTTGTTTGTCCTTATCATCATTCTCTTTGTATTTCATTTTCACTTTTTATCAATTTTTAAGATATCCTCATTTCCTATATGTTATTAAATGGTATTTGAAGATAAATGATGACTGTCAATATAATTCTAAATAAAAGTTTAGCAATTTTGAGGCTTAGTAAATAAGAAAGAAAATGAAAAACAAAAGTATCATTGTCAAATTTTACTTCCTCAAAAAATACTACTTAAATTTCACTTTTTCTTTCAAACTCATGTTTCAAGTAAACTTTTGGCTATTGTTGTAAGAAAGCCAATAAAGTAATATCTAACTGATTAAAGCTTCAACCAAAGTGTTATGATCCTATTTACAGCAAATCTTTGTTAATGCCTTTTTGAAAAGTGCTACTTCCGGTGATAGTGTATTTTTTTGGTTTGAATATCTGAGCTAAAGGTAAGCAAGCATTATACCAGTAGTAAGAATAGTAAAATTAACTTGTAAAAGTTAGGCCAGAGTGCACTGATACTACACTGATCTTAGAGAGCTGGTGAGTGACATTTCAATCTGGTCATAAACCAATCTATACATAAATAATGCAATCATTTTTATGGATACAATTATTGTCATGATAATATGAAGAATATTTTTGTAATGTTTAATGATTTTCTAGAAAATTGCAAGGAAGTTCTAAGAAGTTCTCTGTTTGATCTACTTACCAAAATCAGTATTTCAATAACCAAACATCAGAAGATTAACTTTAGAAATTGGATTTATGCCAGAACTTTTCAGCACTCTCTTTTATTGTTAAACTTTTTAATTCCAGTTCAATAAAATAATATTTGAATGATTAGTTGAAAATTAAGTAATTTTTGAATCAGTATCTTTTTTGAACATATCCAAATTTCAAAATCAGCTTCTGTCTTTGGTTGAATACAGTTGATGTCTGTTCTTTTTTATGTATTCACCTTTGAAAAGCTTTTGAAGTAAAAAGAAAATGAAGTAAAAGAAAAAAGGAAATTGTGCCAAGATATACAATGCTTCAAGTGCAATAAGATCAGCCACTTTGCAGGGAATGCCAGCGAAATATCTTGTGGGGAAAAGGGTTAGGATTAGGGTTGTCTTGTTGCACAGTATCTGGCCATGCAGCCCTGGCCTCTACACCTGTAATAGGTGATGGTTTTTCGGGGATTTGAAAGTTGCTGTATTTTGTTGGTGTAAACATCTACGTGCTCTCCTGCCCATCTGACCAGTTTAAGCTTTGCGTAAGCAGGGGGCATCCTGACTGAAAAAGCCTCAACCAGGCATCAATCAGGTTGTTGTTTGTCTGCTGATCCCTGTCCATCTCCATATAGAGTTGGAGCACGTCTCCTGCCAAATACAATGGTAAAAGGCTTGCCACATCTTCTATTTTTTGGAGTTTCACCAGCTGCCCACCCTATCGAGCCATGCCACAATATCTCTCTCACCATTTATTATGTCGCTGCTGAGTTTCAGCTTTGCCATTTTGGGGAAGTCAATAATTAAGTGGCACTGCCAAAATAGCTTGAAGTAAAAAGAAAGAGAAGTAAAAGAAAAAAGGAAAGGAAAAAAACACAATCACTCATCTCAGTTTATTATTCAACATGGCTGTCCTTAGAAATATCATTAAGAATACCTTTCTCCTGACTGCCAGTATCAATCTCGTTCATTCTTTTATTCTCTCGCAAAGTACTCAATCTGGGTGTTTGGATAAAATTTGCATCACTCTGCCAACGCCCTGGCTATTACGCATTCATTCCACTTGGACAAATCAACCTCAACTGGTTAATGTGAGACTCAGGTTCAAATCTCACCAAAGTCAATTCTGCTTTTGGGTACATACAATACATGTTGCCATGCAAATTCTTTTTGCAGCAGGTGAATGACACCTTCTCTTAGCAACTTCTTCGTTACAATATTTTTCTAAATATTTACAAATTTAAATGTAGCTTTCTTACCACTTAGGAAAATTTTTAGATGTATTTGGGCTTATCTGATCATTTAATGATTTTGCCTTTATAAAACAAAGTAACTTTAATAGAATTTTTTGTATATTAAGCAAATTCTCTTACACTTTTACTTACTGAGAATCAAATATTTAAGATAGATTTGAATATTATAAAATTTGAGTAGTTTTGAAAAATAAAAGCATATTTTTCCACTAATTTAATTGTTTTTCTTTTTTATAACCAGTTTGTGTTAACAAATATATCAAACCTGATGAATATTTCTTAAGTATCAACTGTTGTCTTCCAAAACGCCAAAGCTATATCAAATATGTAGTTAAATTATTGGTTAATATGCTTTCTCCCTTGCTTTAAATTGTGAAATGATGCAAAATAGCATGTTATTTGTATTAATTGCATCTTATGATGAAAACAATGAATAAAAACATCACTGTATATTAGGACATTTCATGATATTTGTATGCAATTAGATTATTAATTCATTCTTGGGAGAAATAGGTGTTTTGAAGCAAATTTTAATTGCATAAAAAATCTGTCTTCATTTTAGATTTCAATAACATGTTTACTATATTATTTGTTGTTTTATTGTTTATTTAGAAATAAATATTTCGTGATTAATACATAAACTGCTATGTTATATGATTTCCTCTTATTTTTTCCTTATCCCCAGGAGGTGTTGTTATCAAAGAATACAGCTATCAAAGATCTACAGTTTGAGTTGGCCAGAGTGTGCAAGGTAAGAAATAAATCACATTACAATAATTTATAATTTACATAGGTTTTTGTCTTTAAATTGTAAATGATCCAATTATATTTTCAATTTTGTCAGTGTAATTCTTTTTCATGAAGTTCCTGATTTTATTTGCTGCACCAACATTTTATTTAATCTACTTGTTTACCAAAAGTTGTCTTTTGGTGAAATATACCTCATCCATTTTAATATTCTACAGTCTTTATGGCAAATTTGAGCTTAGCTTCTGCATATATTTCTGATTCCTTTAAAAACCTTAACTTAAAGTGCTTTTTCTTTTATGAGCAAAGAGGAAATATTATTTGTTATTTCACTTTTTTTCTTTTTCACCATCCTATGTCAAGTAAGAGGCTATCAACTAGATATAAGTCTTTCATTTACTATGCTCATTATCACTAGAGAAAAGATCACAAACACTTTCATGTTATTGACATCTGTGTCTATTTTGATGGACTTTTTTTCTATGCACATGTAAGTACTAAGGGCAATAGTCCATGTGTAAATAGTGTAGATAATTGTAACTCCTCATCTCAGAAATTTAGACAGAAAAAAACATTTTTGCTGCCTTTTATCATTTGGAATCACCTGGGTACTGGAACTGTGGCAGTGAACTAATCTGGTTGCTACATAATGAAATAAATTTTGCTTGTTTATTATTTTTTACTTTTGTTTTTTTAGTTGAAGTTCTCCATTTTCTCAAGCATTACACATAAGAACTGAAGAATATATTGGCTGAAACCTTTTGTTAACAACCAATTATACAAAGGATGGAGATATATATATATATATATATATATATATATATAATTGAAACAAATATGAATTCAACAAAATGAATAAATAAGGAACAAATAAGAAAATATAAATTTAGCATGTTTCACATTTAGATTCATCAGAAATTTTGGGAAAAGCACTCAAAGTCTCTGATAGAAGAACGTGTAAATATAAGAAGTGTGGACACTAATGTCGACTTTGAGTGGCAACATTTTGTTTCATGCTTGAATGCAGTCCTCAGGCCTGAAGATTGTGTTCAAGCATGAAACAGACTGTCATCAAGTTGACATCAGTGTTTACACACACACACACAAACAAACATATTTTTACTTCATAGCACACTGAATAACGTTGATAAAAGTTCATTTTGTTAGAAATTGCTTCAATTAGCTAGAAATAGTGTGCGGTTCTCTTTAAAGTTCAGTAGCTTTCTTCTCCATGCAGAAAATTGGGTATCAATGACTTTCTTTTTTGTTATAATGTATGTTACAATGAACGTATAGTTTCAAAGGAAAGAACAAACAAGGATTAAAGTTCCAATTGTGTATATTGATCAATATTCAGCATATATACATAATTGTATGAAAAGCTGATAAAATTGTTGATATCTGGTTCTTTTGTTGCCATTTGTAAGGGAAGCATTTTGGTGTAAGAGAGACCAGGTGTGGGTAATGACCCAGTAGCTGGAGTCATGGTGGTGACATAGAGAGGCCTGGACTAGGTCTGTGAAGCTGCAAATGAATGGTAGTACAAGTGGCATGTCATTGGCAGGTTGGTTGAATGAGGTCACAGTAATGATGATGAGGTAGGCCTGGAATGGATAGTGGAGCATGATCGAGCAGAATGGCTCCATTGGATTCTGATTGCATGGGAAATCAAATGAAAATGGGATCATGGAGGTGATGCAGAGAGGGTCCTGGAGTGTGATATTGAAGTTTCATTGAGCTGTTAGAAATCGTGGTGGTGATGTAGAGAGAGGCTTGGTGATGACAGTTAACCTGTCAGCTGCATTCTGTGTGTGAAGAGTTGGGTGAAGTAAAAAATAGGGTTGTTGTTAGATTGAATTGCCCAAGGTCATGGTAGTGACGTCGAGAGTGAGCCTGCTGGTGTCAGCAGCTGACCTGGGGTGGGGGGGCAGCAACTTTCCTGATTGGCTATTGTATTTCAGATCTTTGCAAGGATTTGTTTTGTGGACCAGATGTGATGCTTGGAGCCCCTGCACAGAAGACAACTTTTTTCTTTTTTTTTTTTGAGGTTTGCTTTCTTAGCACTTGCATCTGGTAGACATATAGAGAATCAAAGAGATCTAGTTGTAGTGGTGTATAACATGTATGAACATACAAACCCTCACAATGAATGAATAAAGTGAAAGTTAGACAGAAGACAATTTTTGTTCTACCATGGTTTGTAAAAAGTCATGGGATAGATACCTAATATCACGTAAGACTCCTTCAAGCCTTGCAAAGTACAGCAACTTGATACCATTAATGATTGTAGTTTTCTGGAGAGATGTTGATCCATGTTGTCTCAATAGCTGTCCATGGCTCCCTGCTATTTGTAAATACTGGGTCCTGCATATATCTGATTGGGCTCATAGGGAATGAACATGGTGTCTTCACCACTCATCAGAATTCTCCAGAATGCTCCTCAAAGCCATTCTCTGCAACTTGGACATGATGACATGGTACATTGTCCTGTTGGAATAAAACATTGTTGTTGGGGTGTGCCATACCAGAAACTTGTATCATGGCAAAACAACAAGAACTGTAATTCATTGAACTACACCACATGTTTCTTTTCCTCTAGGGTCTAATTAGCGATTATATATGATCAGGTGAGCTACTGTGTCCAGTATTATAGTGTTAACAGGAACACCCTGATAAAGCTTCTGTTCCCATATCTCATGGAATCTAAGTAACACTGAACTAATCTCTTAAATATGCATCTGGTACCACTTCCATTGTATGTGGATGTTATTTGATTTAGTAGAGAATGCTAAAAAGATGCCTCTGTGCTAAATGCAGAAACAAAATGTTGTGTGAAAGACATTTTTTAAAAACAACAAAAGAAAATTTCCAATATATCGTGGGTAAAGCATAAAGTTGTATTTAAAATTTCTGTTCATAGTATTTGACATCCAGGTTTCTCCAATCATATAAAATGAAGTTATTTTAGATTAAAATAAAGAAAAAAAGGATAAATTTAAAATTTTTCATTCCACTTTGTAGAATTATCTTGCTCAGCATATAGAAAAAAATTTGTAATCACAAGTAAAATGAAATGAATATGACAGTAAACAGGTAGTATGTGTGTGTTTATTCACAAAAATAAACCTAATGTCAACAAAATGTATGTGTCTCATGCCCACCACTTTTTACCAGTGGTTTTAAAATTCATATCTATTCAAGGTACAACTGAATCTTGTTACAATGATATTTTGCAATGATCATAGTTGACATCGAAGTGGTAGCCTTTTTATATATATATATATGTGTGTGTGTGTGTCTGTCTATATTTCTGAGATGAGGTATTATGTAAACCATTTACATTGCTCAGACTAACCTCCTCATATGGCAACAAAGATGAGGATGATAGTCCGAGCAATGTAAATAGTACATGTGTGTGTGGTTCAGTGTTCTGATGATGAAACCTGATTTTGAATTTCATAACAGTCAATTTAACAAGGAGACAACTTCCTGAGGAGGCAGTCCTAGAGTGTAGCACTTTTTGGAAGTACCTGATAACCATGCTATGTTTTGACCCAATCCTTTGAGTAAAATTGGGTAGATAAAATGTTTATAAGCTATATATAGTTGTACTAGCACAAAGTCATAAGTCATCATCATTGAAGTTTGGAACCTACTGATCTCTTTCAACTACTAATCACACCAGATTATATGCTCACTGTAAGGGAGGTCTTTTCAACATAGTTACAGTATAAAGTAAAAATTAATTTTGTTGGTGTTGAAGAAACTCAAATGTGATTGACAGGCAGCATCATCACCAGTTAGCTAGCTACTCTAGTAGACAGGTGTATTCAGAAATGAGTATGTAGTCATTATTATATATATATAGGTTATTATGTTATTATTATTATATATATAGGATATATATAGGTTATTAGGTCATTATTATATATATATATATAGGATATTAGGTTATTCCTAAATTTTTGTTTGAGGATGAAACAGGGCTTGATACTTTAACTCAATTTAATTTTAATAATTATATTGAGGTTTTCAGCTCTCGTTTTTGAAACATGAGAACTCTTATGTAGCAAAGGAATCATATTTTTAAAAAAATAATTATAATTTAAGCTCTACTTCTGTATGGAGCACTGTTTTTTTAAAAATAAAAACAAAAATGCTAAAGAACTCCGGATTATTTACCTAATGTGTTCTTCCTATTTTTCTACATGTTTGCACACACACACACACACACACACATATATATACACTAAAATGAGAATTGAAAAAAAAATCACTAAAAAAGATACTGACCAGTTCAAAACTGCAGAACCCAATTAATGACCCTCAGGTGAAAAAATGCAATCGACTACTTTGCAGAGTATGCAACTACCTATTAGAGGGCCAGGAATTTCAGTTCAAAGATGGATAAAAATTAAAAATGATTTCTCATGTGACTCAGAGAATCTAATATACATAACTACATGCAAAGGTTGCCACAAGCACTACATTGGCCAAACCGGTCAGTCGCTCCGGCAAAGGATGACAGTTCATCGCCACACCATAAAAATACCCCTTAGCCACCATATAGAGGAATGCACAGAACAAAGTCTGCCAGATTTTAGTGTCTTCCCATTCTACCACTGCAGATACAGAACTGCTGAACAAAGGTAGATTAATAAGGAAATGTTCACTTTTATATTTACATACCCTCTGATATTGAGCACTTTATCCCATAAATATAACATGCCTTAAAACTATATTACTTCATATATAAATATGTATGTTATATATATATATATATATATATATATATATATATATATATATATATATAGTGGTTGCCAACTTGTGTTTGAGTACAGCCATTACTATAGGTAGGTGGTTCTGGATGAGGGAGGTTATAAAAGGTCATAATTTGGCCCTGATTACAGCCATTCAGAGAATATTTACATTAACTGTATCTAGACATCTGTTCTTTATATAAATGAAAAATTTAACTAAAAAAAAATCCTTACCTATTATTTTTAATCTAACATGTGTGTGTATATATATATATATATATATATATATATATATATATATATATATAATATAAACAACTTTAATTGAATAACACTGACAAGATTAACAGTTTTGAATTTTTTCATCATGACATAAAACATTTACATTTGCTATTCTGTTGGATTCTCATCCAATTTTCAATCAAATTGTCAACATAGAAAATATTGAAACAAATTTATCATACTTATTATAAAACCCAGGTTGTGTGTGTGTGTCTGTACATTTATATATTGGATCGGATTTCCTACATTTTTCCACCAATTTCAACAAAACTTCACAGGACTACGTAAAATTACCTTGTTCTGACAGCACCAAAAATTGGAAAAACACAATTTTTTTTGCACGAAATCAATTTGAAAACACGATTAAGAGTCATCGCCAGAATGAAAGGGGGACAACTCATATCGAGTTATACTTATTATAAAACCCAGGTTGTTTGTGTGCTTGTGTGTGTTCGTTTATATATGGGATTGGATTTCCTACATTTTTCAACCGATTTCAACAAAACTTCACTATTTTTTTGGCAGGTAGTGTTTCTTATTGTCTTGCACACTTTTTTCTTTATTTTTACATTCAAAATGCTTTAAAAATTCCATTTACAAGACAATTGTTTATAATAAAATTCTATTCAATCAGTAGACTCATAATGATTGAAAACAATGTTTTTGTTTGAGTTTAGGTTTGACCAATTCGTAAAAAAAAACTAATTAAGACATGTGTGTCCGTCAACCTTAAACAATAATCTTTGTCAATTTTATTTTTCAGTCTTTATGATGGTGGATACTTGATCTATCTCTTACTGTTACATCCCCGGGAAACACCGGGCTCTACTGCTAGTATTTAATAAGAAGATATAAGAAACTTAAAAAGAAACTGATTTAATATCAGAAGCAGGAGTCTACCAAATAGAATGTAAACAATGTCTCCAAAAACAATTCAACAAAACATCTTGGAATTCAAAGAAATGAATATACAAATATGAAAGGAACTTGAAAATGTATAAATAACAACTGAATTGAAATTAATAAAGTATAATTTAAAAAAGGATACAGTTAAAGTAAAAAAAATTAAATGTTCATGTGATTATCATGAATCCTGTTTCTGTCTCACACATAGATTTATTTTAAATACAATTTGTTTTTCTGATCACAATTTATTTGGTGAAACCTGTCAAAATAAAAGTCTTTCCAAATTGTGTTGAATGTATTTCAGCTGACACAAGCAAAAATAAATTCTGATTCTCTACATTTTGAGTAGAAATCATAACATAAAAGATTTTTTTTATTATAGGGATACTCATTTTTTATTGTACTTATGTTGATTCTTCATTTACTTACAAAAGACATTTTTATTCAATCTTTATTAAAAGTTTTGTTTTCAAATTATGTCTTTGACATATTTTTAATCATGACATCTTTCTCTCATTTCAGGCTCATAATGATTTACTGCGTACATATGAGGCTAAGCTGAAAACATTTGGAATTCCCCTAGAGGAACTTGGATTCAAACCACTGGAATCATCCATCCCAGATCATATTTTAGGCAAAGGTCCTGCTGGTTTGGTTTCTGCTACTGTTTGAAGCCAAAACAAATTAAAAACTTCAAAAAACAAACACCATCCGTCCAGACAGAAATAAATAGTGGTTATTCTGAACTTATTCCCATTAATACAAATTTACACACACACACGCGCGCACACACACACACACACACACACACATATATATATATATATATATATATATATTACACTCAAATAAGAACATATTGTGATGATAATTGTTTTTTATGATGTTTCTAATAGAGAAAAAATAATGTGCATTTTTATTCAAAAAACCTTTTAATATTTATTTTAATAAAACCAAATTTTAACTAACAATTGACTTTTTTTATCATTAATTTTTGATTAAAAAATGAAACAGTCACTGTTGCTTTATACCGAATAAAGACAAACACAAAGATTTTAGGACTGTTTTCGTTGTGTATAGATTATAGATTGTTTGCTTTGAAATAATATCTTACCAGCAGCTATCTCACATCATTCATTGGTGTGCCTAACCATTGTGGCAATAATTCATAGTAGCATAAGTAACCTATTTATTAAGAAACAACCTTCCCATGCTACAAATCATAATAGTTAAATTGTATCTCACTCCATTGAATGGATTAGTAAATTCAATTTCTACTATTATTACATTCTGCCTTAACTCTGATTAGTGAATAAACCTCACTATAAATTGTTTCAGCTGTGTGTTAGCATCAAATTTCAGAGGACACCTCTACAGGATTTGATAAGTCCATGCATATCAGTTAAGGGCTGTTTTGCAGCCACATTGAAGAGTAACTTTTCATAAGGCAGGTCCTTATATTTTGGCTCATCAGTTTATGTGAATTATTTGATTAGGATTTTATAGCAGGTTTAGTGTTTTTTACCATTGCTCATTCTCAAAAGGATTAATGATAAATATTAATCCAGAAAGAACCTTTATACAGTGGGGTTGAATAAGTGATTGTACACATGAAAATATTTCATATTTTTATTTGTAACATATTAAATTAACAAAACGGGAATATATCTACTGTATCAGATTGCATACTAAAAATGTATTCATATAAAACTAAATAATATTCCATGTTTAAGAAAATATAGCAATATTTAAATTTTTAGGGGTTTAAAAAATGATTGTAAAGCAGAACAAAAACATGTTTTCTCCATTTAATATTTTGTAGCAAAGCCTTTATTAAGTTCAACAGCAACCAATCTCTTCCTGTAGTCTTTAATTAATGATCCGCATACTTTAGTAGGTATTTTGTCCCATTTATCATGAGTAATTGTCTTCAGGTTTTTGATGTTTGTTGGACCTCTATCACAGATCTTATTTTTCAAAAATAAATTCTCTATTGGATTCAAATCCGATGACTGACTGGGTCATTGTATGATGTTAACATTGTTATTAGCAAGCCAATTCTTTACTCTTAGGAGTATGCTTGGGATCATTGTCCTGCTGGAAGATCCAATCAGCAGGAAGCCCAAGATTCTCTATAGAAAGCAATAAATTTTCACTTAAGTTGATATTTTTCTGCATTCATTCTACCGTCTATAATTGCTAGTTTGCCAACACCTTGCATCAAAAAGCGGCCACAAACCATGATACTACCCCCACCAAATTTGACAGTTGGTATGGTGTTCTAAGAATAAGAATTTTCCTTATCTTTATGCTCTGTTGCAAAATTCAACCTAGCATCTCTATGCTGTTTCAGAAGGAGTGGTGTCTTTCTTGGGAAGCGCGACTTTATACCATCTCTGCTCATTACTAATCATTTGCTTAGTTACATTAACTCCTGACAAACAGATCATTCTGAAGGTCTTGTCTGATGGCCATTGGATTATTTTGGAGCTGTTGCATCAACTTTCTTCATCATCTGGGAGAGATCTTCCTGGGAGCACCAGGTCTGCCTTTGTTCTTGTTATAAAATAAGACATATCTCGGCTGATTTGCAGGCAAATAAACTAACATACTTAAGAGCGAGAGCTGGATGGGAACGGAACAAGGCCCTGTCACAAAATGACCATTATCGTCGTCTACGCATAAGCCTGATGCACGAGTTCCAGTTGAAAAATAAGATAATATTTTAAAATGTTTCTATTTTTCAGCCAATAAAAATGCTTCCCTCGTAATTATACTTGCGTTGTTTTTCGAGCCTGCTAAGCCATAAAAAACAACATAAAAGGGGTCACACGGGGAATTATAACAGCAGTCAGCAGCAGTAGCGCCACGCCAACCAGCGAGAATTACTATGAGAGATCAACCCAGGTCAGCAGCTGGCTTATGAACTATACCACAAGGTAGCTGTCCCAAAACCACATGTTCCTATTGAAATAAATCACGTAAATCTATTTCTGCTGTTGTCGTATTTCTTTCTTGCAACCATACGCTTATCTATAACATTCTCAACAGTATTACGTCTTTTAAATCTTGTAAGAAATGAACCAATTGTTGAAAAAGGTATGTTTCTGTCACTGGAGATGTTTCTGTAACTTTTTCCATTGTTCCATAGCTTAATAATTAGCTCTTTTTGAGCACAAGTCATTTCCTTACTTCTAGCCATTATTAGAACTGTTATCAGTGAACAGTGACTGCAGAATGATCCAATTTTGAACTGAATGTTGCAATAGAGTTACTGAGAATATTCTAGAACAGTTTAGAATCTGCTACTTTGAAGTACAACCAAAATCTACTATATTATAATGCAAAAATTGATACTGTACAAACACTTTTTCCACTATTCAAAATATAAAAATTTGCATAACTATCACTTATTGATGAATTTCTAATTTTAAATTGCAGATTCTGATTGTATGCCCCAAAATACATATATAACATTGTTATTCGAGGTTTTCATTCACTATAAGTGAGAATAACAAGCATTTGTTTGCTGTAAAATCACTTATTCAACCCCGCTGTATAATTAAAAAATGATTTCATAGCGCAATGAAGCATAATGGATAAAAGTATAATTTCAGTCTGAATTTCTGGGATGAGGAGTTCTGATTATTTACATTGTTTTCACATAGACTATTGTCTTGATCTTTTTTTCTTGTTATCACAACATTTTAGCCATTGTGCCCTCCAGCTGTCATCAGGTGCTTGTTGATCTAAGTAAACTTCAAGGATTTTAATTTACCTTTAATTTTACCTTTTAATTAATCTTATTGGGATAGATTGTTCTCATTCTGCTGACCATGTCAGGGATATCTCATCCAGTTCTTATTTAATACTTAGTTCTTGTTAATTCCATTTCTACTGCATCCAGGTACATGCACACTGCCTAGCATATGATGAGAACTTCCTTGTTAGCTGGTTGATTATATATTAGGAACTCAGAACACTTTATGGAATTGAACTGAGGAGTCCTCCTCCCTAGAAATTGGATGTAGTGAGCCTGTTTACCAGAGTTTCTACAGTTGAGGCTTTATCAGTGGTTCAAAATTGGAGAATTTACTGTGAACAAACAGCATTCTTCCAACTAGATTCTGACATATATAAACAGGAGGAAGGCTTAGGTATGGATTTCTTGTTATCACCAATGATTGCAAACATATACATGAGAAATTTTGAGGAAATGAATTTTGGAATGGCACCACTAAAGCCAACAGTATGGCTAATGTATGTAGCTAACACCTTCATACCTTCTTGAAAATATTGAAATATCTGCAACCATTTCTAACAATTTCCCCGATTTGTAAAATCAAATGGTTCTGAGGTGGTTGTTAATTTGAACATTTTTTTCCTTTTATTTATTTTTTTTTTAACATTTGGGTCCTGTTCTTCTAGAAAATAATTTTCTTCCCTCTCTCACACCATGTTCCACTAGACATAGAGTGGAAAGGTAAGTTATATGAGACTGGCCACTGAAAAGTCAAAGCAACACAAAGATGACATGAGTCATGTTAAACTTAACAACTTATTTATTCAAACTATTGCTGGTTTGTCCCAGCATTCCTTAGTGAGACCAGAAATGCTTACAATCGTCATCATAATCAACATAATTGATGTTGTTATAACAGTTACCTTGTTTCATTTTCACAATTAAGATCTTTTTAACAATATGACCTGGTGTAATTATTCATATATTTAATATGTTTCTGTTAATCTTCCACCACCAAAGACTTTTTCAGATTTTTGTAAATTACATGCCATGAATATGAAAATAAGTATTGTGAAGATACAGTTTCTAAATTTAAAATGAACAGGATGTCATTAATGGGACGGATAAGTATTCAAAAATATATGCAAGAAAGAAACAAAAATATAAATTTAATTTTACAAACGTTTTTTAGTATTTGAAAATATATCTAAAAACTGTTTTTTGTATTCCATTTAGATGGTCAATAAGCTGCAATATAGCATAACAGAATTGATTATTCATTTCAGAAGTGACTGAATGCAAACAGGATATATACTTGTTGATATTGCATTAATGGAAAAAGTACCCTGTATTGTTCTATTTTTCTTGGACTAATTTTACTTTAACTCACTTTCCTCTTTTTAAGATTTATAAATCCCTAGGGTGGTATTACAGCTAGGGAAAAAAGGTAATATGTGTGACTACTTCACTTCAAGTGGCAGTTAGCAATTGTTTTTATTTTGAGTATATCTAAATGTATGGCTCTGTCTTAGCCAATTAACATCGTCTTTACAGATAGTGTAATGACTGTGTGTCAGTCAATCAGCATTGTCTTTACAACACTCTTCTCCAAGTTTGTATAACTTTTATTAATTTGTTTATATTTTATTTGGGGTGGTTATCAATTACTAATACACCATCTCTGTTTTTTTGGGTGGGCTTTATCAGTTGCCTTGAATGTCTTATTTGATGAGTATCACTTGCAGTTTTAGTGCTTGGTGATGCTGATTCAAATTGGGGTTGGACTCTAGTTGTAGCTGATTTGTTCATGTGAAATGATGGCTGTGACCCGTTGTTTTCCACTTTTTCTCCTGCGTGTATAAGGCAGTGTCTGTTCTACTTTATGATTAATTGATACAGTCTCTGTAGTAACAATGTAGGATCTTGATTG